CTGCAAGTTAAAAAGCAAGCTTTAGTAAATATTTCATTTTTTTAATAACTAATAGTGTTCAAGGTATCCTTTAAATATTTGTTCCTCACATTTTATTGCATTGATGATTTCTAATTAATGCACAGAATTAAAAAATCTATTTTAATTTTCGTAATAATTGATTAGTTTTTAATTTTTACCTTGCTTATTGCAAACAATAGGATAAAAATTAAATTCCGATAATCCTGTAATTAATCATGTGAAATATTTCAACTTTTCAAGATTATGTATTAGCGGTTAGGGCTAGTGCAAATCTGCAATTGCAAAATCTGCGCATAAACACGATATTTATTGCATAGCATATGCGATTGCAAAATTTGCATATTAAAGCTAATCTCGCATAATTAATAGTGCATAATCTGCGCATAAAACGGCTGGTGTTAAATATAGTAATATCTCAGATAATAGACAGTCAATAAACACAAAATACGAGCGTGGTTTTTGGGGATTTCGGGAGACAGAAATTTACCTGATAAGCTATGAAATTACGGTAATTTTACAACCCTGGTGATCGCATAATTTCGCATAGTTGTATCTGATTCGCATAATTTACTGCATAATTTCAAGAAATTATTGTATAATTTCGCATAAATAGATATGCAAAATTTGGGACCTGTTGCCGCAAAAAATGATGAGCCCTATTAGTAGTTAGCAGACATGTTCAATAATCTGCATATCCTTATTAGTTAAAGTTAAATTCATAATTTATATGTACAGTATACATATACCCAGGGTATAATAATTAAACTGTTACTTATTAATATTCATTTATCGTCATTAATCATATTGAAAATAAGGATTGACCTAGTCACTATATCAAGATTGCTTTTTTAACCCATGAGGTGACTCATGGCTCGCCTGTTAGGTGACTTGACTATTTTTTTTTATAGGCCCCAATACAAAGCGCTAAACAAACCATAATGCTGTGAAAGAATCAATTTGAATTTATTTATTTGAGGTTGATTATTGTTGTTTACCATCTCACCGTTTCACTACTGTTTCACTATTTCACCAATTCACCAATTCACCAATTCCACCAATCCACCAGTTTCAACAGTTCCACCAATTTTACCAATTTCACCAATCCACCATGGTGAAATGGTGTAATTATTTCACCACCCTAATTTAATTTCACCAACATTAGTACATATATACTGTGTACAAATAGAAATGCTCTATTAATCATAGAGTAAATTCAATAAACTTTATTTGCTATAACCTTTGATGATCAATGTTAATTTGAGTTTTCTAAAAATTTTTGTTAAACCATATTTGGTACGTACTATAAGAAAAATATCTTTAAACATAACTAAATACATATGCACATGGATAAAAAAAAAGGGATACATATATTATTTAAAAGTTTTTTTCAAAAAGCTTGGAGAAATATCAGATTTCAGAGAATTAGGGTAATTCAATTAACTGCCATGTTACCGCGCAATACTTTCGTTCTTGTCTTTTTTCAATTTGTAAAAGTTTTTTATACACCATCTATCAAGTTTTAAATTCGTTCTACATGTTTCATAGAATTACATTTTCTTGCTTGTTTTAATACGTAAACGTGATATATAATTTTGTGTGACCATATCGTTAACGCACTAGTAGGCATTATTTTACACTTATATGGTATAAAAGCAATGTAACCAATAATATAAATAATATTAATGATTGTAAAACATTTTTCTTATAAAATAAAACCATTTTTATTTTTGTTAAAAAACGATCTTATTTCAAAATGAAGTCCTTATTTATTCTGATTTTTATTTTCTATGTAATTATTGAATCGAATAACTGAAGTTTGATTTTTTTTACTCATAAAATATTAAACTAAATATTTTTTATAGGTTAGTTACTTTGGAAATATCTTAGAAGCTAAACCAGTAGTTGGTGATGTGCTAGTAGTCATTGCTGTGACATTATATGAGCATTTTGATTATACTGGAAAATCAGAAACATTTCAACTTGATCCACTTTTGTGCTTTACTATACCAGGAAATTGGTTATCAATTATTTCTGTGATGAAAATTGCAAGAAATTTTTGCACAATATTTTTTTTTTAAAGATAAATGTCAAGATCAATTTTCTATAAGAATTTGTGGAAGTCAAGCCTTTAATGGCACTACATCTAACGATAAACTTGTGTTAATTCAACCTGATAATGTCCGTTCTTTACAACAAAAATGAAATTTATTTTGTATTACATATCTAAAATTCTTTCTTATTAATTTAGGTTTTTTGATTTTTTACACGTAATACGTATAATAACGATAATAATTATATTATTTCTTAATCCTATGATTCATTTTTGGATATTTCTATGCTCAACTATATATTTGTAGCAGTAAGGGTTTTTGGTATTTATTAAATAATTATTATTAGAACTGCCTAGTAGAAAATGACCACAAAAAATAAATACTTCTTCTATTCCATCGCCAGTTTGAATTTGTTTCACGTTAAATGTTGATTAATACTTCAGATTTAATAAAAACAATAGATAACACAAATATACACTACTAAAACCAACTAAACTACTCTAACTGAAACCTAATAGTGGTAAGGCTACGATCGAGGAGTGAAAAGACTTGATCCGAGTAATTTGAGCTCTAGACTATGTCACGGGTCTTTTAGCACAGAATCATGGGATCTGGTCACTAATTCCTATCGTTATCGTAGAGACAAACACTTCTAATAACGACTTCAAAAGCTTTGAACTCCATGAGTTTTTTTTTGATTCAGATCGAAATAGTTTCGCTTATATATTTTTCAATTATATACTAAAAATCATTACAATAAAATAAAAAGAATGAATAAAATAAATTGATACTATTTAAGTTTATACAAAAATTTCCAAATTGAATCCAAAAAAAAGCTACTTTTGATTTCAAAAATCAATCTAATTAATACAGATCAAAAATTTTTGCTTTGTTAAGTGTTGAAATTCTTCACAAAGATATTGTAAGTTTGGTTGTGCTAATATTATTTTAGACACTTATTTTTATGCATGCGATATAGATATAATATAACTCTATTAGTGAGATGCTTTTACTTGTTTTAAATTATAAAGTATTTTGGGTTTGAGTTTCTAATTCAGCGTTTAATTTTTTAAAATTATTATTAAGTGATACTATAGCCTTTTCTATTTCATCGGGCATAGAAAAAGGTTTGCCTTCCCAAATACTATCATCGATTTCAAAAATTTTGTATTTGTTATCAAATAATCTGAGTTTTTTATTTTTTAATCTATTTTTTAAATTTAAATTAACAATAATATCTAATTTTGATTTGTCATTTTCTTGAATAATATTAGTTAAATGGTGAGCAATTTTTCCAATTGTATTATTAAGTCGAATTAAATTTTTTCTATTATTATCTAAAAGTTTTTTAAATTCATCTGTTTTCTTATCTGAAATATTTCTTTTAAAGGAATCATTTATTACTTTAATTGTATCTCCACATGATTTAGAAATTCCAAAAGTAAAAAATCAGCTACTCCACCTATTGCACTAATTAGATTGCTTATCCCACCAACTTTAGTATACTTTTTATTGCTTTTAAGTCCGTTGTAGCAATTTTGTAATCTATAAATTGTTATTTGTCGAGCATTAAGAAAAATTTTTTATTAGTCCTAAGGAAATGGATAAAGCATCCGAGACTTCTTGACTGACAAATGTACCGGAGATGTCTTGGTGATACAA